TTGATTACAAATGCACCTGTAAATCTATTGTTGCTTTTGATCAAACTCTTGTTTTTGCTTATGACACATTACATCCTACTACGCTGATTTAAATTAATTTTGTGGTGCACAAGTAAAGCGTAATAACATCTTAAGGCCTCATATTAAATTTTTATGTGCAGGATGATTATATGATGTGCTGTGTAAAAACGAGTATGATGTAGTGATTGATACTTATAAATACTAAGAACTAACATACAATTTAATATTAAATGCACAAGTTGCATTGTGTATGATACAATGCTACAGGGATCAATGTTCAAATATCCTCCATCAGGCTGTTTGTTTTGAATGATGATGTCATCTGAGCACGTGACCGTTGCCTTTTGATTTCATTGGTGGAGCCCAGAAGACTCTGCACAGTGGGGCAGGACCACCGAAGCCATTTTATTATTATAACAGTCAAGGTGCAGGTGCATCAATATTTTTTTTGTTTGCTCACTGTTTTAATTTTGATGCTCAAGATACAATGGGACAGTGTGGAATTACGTCGTCCAAAACCGTCTTGGTTTTTCTCAATCTCATATTTTGGGTAAGAAAACAACAGATGTTTGAACAATGTGCAGCATCCCAGTGAGGCCAGGGATGGAGAGCGTTAGCAAGCTAGCAAACTGCGCCAGAGATGCGCTGCGGATTGCGCTCCGATGATAGACGAACTGCAGTTTGAGCCGGGACATTCACCGACACGGTGTCCCGTTCGCACTCACTGCGAGGTGCACTAAATGGAGAAACAATAATGTGACGGGAGCCAGCTGCAGTGTGTCGATAGCTGCCGCCCACGAGTTGTAGCTATGACGTTATGCGGCAGCTGCCAGGTACTGTAGCGTCTGCTGAGTGAACCTGCAGTGCTACATGAAACCACACTGCATCATTATAGTAACAGACTAGCACGATTGGATTAAATATACACACGTAATAAGAAAACAGAAGCTATAAACTGAGCTCTGAAGGGTTTCGCTTAAAAAGAATGTCTCAGGATGTCTGAATGATGTAGAGATAACAAGTTCACACTGCACCTGTCTTTCAAGTCTGTTATATCTGTCTGAGCCTAAACTGCTATTCTTCACATGTAAATGTTTTAATATTTGTATGATTGGTCTTTTTTTTAGCCTAAATATGTGCTTATTTTGTCTTTTTGTCTGGATTTCGAATTTACTGACATGACCATAAATACATACAGTATTGCCAAAGCAGGTTGTACAAGGTTTGCAATGCAAGTAATTCTGAATACAAGGATAAAAATAAGACAAAAAAGTTTTACAAAACCCAGCACTACACAACACTATACTATGTACAGTACCTCTATATGCACTGTAATATACACTACAATGCACTACCCAGCTGAATTACTGCACTGCACAGTATATCATAATGAAACAAAAACAAATGATCAATCATTAACAACTAGAAAAAGAATATTCATTATGAGACATAGTTTAACAACTGAATGTAATAGGGTTGTGTGATCCATAGGAGGACTGAAGGACGTCCTTCTCTCTGTGTGACTCCTGTTTCTCTGGTTTTATGTGCAGGCTGCAGCTGGGATTTTATGCTACATCGGAGCCTATGTGTTTATCACATATGATGACTACGACCACTTCTTTGAAGATGTGTACACTTTGATTCCCGCTGTCATAATAATAGCCGTCGGGACTCTTCTCTTCATCATCGGCCTGATTGGCTGCTGTGCAACAATACGTGAAAGCTCCTGTGGTCTGGCGACTGTGAGTGTGCTCTACTTTGACTTGCATGCTTACAATGAGCTGAATGCTGTGGTGGACATGCAACACGTCTGTTACTCAAGGAAGACACACAGTAACATGAGACTGGGGATAAATATTTATTTAAGTGGGATGAAAAATCATGAGCAATGCATTTTACCTCTGACTTACCTTACTAATGGGTCTCTGAACAATGTGTCTTTGTTGTCATTTCAGTTTGCTGCCATTCTCCTGCTGGTATTTGTAACAGAGTGTGTGGTGGTGGTGCTGGGCTACATATACAGGGCAAAGGTAAACACTGCCTAACTGGTCTGTGTTTTAAAATGGATCTAAAATCAGACTTCCAACATTTTGGCCCACGATTGAAAAAGCTGAACATCCCTTTATTTTGTACAATATATGTTTTATACATAACATTAATTGTTGCATTTAGTATTGTGTATAACAAATAATAAACAAATGATAATGTTGACCTATGTTGTTAATTAGACTTGTAATAATGTGAAAAACTGTTCCTTAGAGATATATATGAAAATTGCAGTCACTGAACAACGACGGAAACAGCAGCTACGTATTTGTTTCAGGTAGAAGATGAGGTGAATCACTCCATCCAGAAAGTTTACAACGAGTACAATGGCACCAACACTGACGCTCCCAGTCGCGCTATTGACTATGTGCAGAGGCAGGTGAGGAGAAAGAGTCCACTGTGTCAAATCTTTTTCTTTTGGCGGCTAAAAATTGAATAGTTTTAATGAACTCACATGACATTTTTATGCCTTTTCACGTGTATATTGTTTTTAACAAGATTTCACTCACCACCTTTCTCTGTTCCTTTCAGCTTCACTGCTGTGGCATTCACAACTACTCTGACTGGAGGAACACTCGCTGGTTTAAAGAATCCAAGAACAACAGTGTGCCAGTCAGCTGCTGTCAGCCGAACATCAGCAACTGCACTGGCACTCTCACTCGCCCAGCAGATCTCTACCAAGAGGTAAACACAACATGCTTGAATGAAGGAGTACATCAGCTAAAACCTCAGTGACATTTGATTTACAGATGAACATTTTGTTTAAACGAACTTAACATTTGAAAGATTCTCTGGCATTATTGCTTGTGCATTTGTCATAGATGTGAAACTCTTTTCATTTTTTATTTTCTATCTTAGGGTTGTGAAGCTCTTGTTGTGAAGAAGTTAAAGGAGATCATGATGTACGTCATATGGGCTGCATTAACTTTTGCATCTATACAGGTAAGGGGGACAATAAATAATAGAGATGAATAGTAGATGTATAGAAATCTGTCTAGTTGTCTGACTGTTTATGACAGAGATTTTTCTCAAATTATGTGATGCTATAATCTAAATCAAGGATTGTAATTTATAGAGAAGATTTGACGGTAATCTTAAATCTAAGAGCTAAAGCCTGTTTGAGTACTTAACACAGCAATCTTCTGCCTTACTGCAAAAAACACATTTAAGATTTGTTATTACAGGACTGTTTCAAAATCAAGTCAAAATCATGTTAATTGGGAACATAATTACAGCTGCAGCATTCTCTGTCAGCAGAAAACTGAGCTGACAACAGCTCTGACCTAATTCAGTCAAAGGATTTGTGGTGTGTTTAACAGCTCAGCATGGCTGCTGCTGACCAGGAAACCCTTGCTCCTAAAGTAGTGACAAAGACAGCATGGCCAATCACTTTCTATTACATTCAAATATACGCATTATAAAATAGCATGCATTCTGAATGTGTGAAAAGATTCAGCTTCTTGGTTTAAGAGCATTTGCTTGTACAGCGTGATTTTCCATTGTAGCACAGAGACAAAAAGCAATTATTCCAGGAGAGCAGGATGCTTGTTATCAACTGCAGTGCTGAATATAAATTTACAATACAGCAAATGTTCAGTATTTTCTACCAACACCCATTAAATTAGAAAAGAACTGATCATGAGCTCCTGCTGTTTGATTACACTCGTGTCACTTTTTGTCATTTGCCTTCCATGATTGCAAAAGGGCAGAATTACTTCAATAATAGCTTTTCTTTTCATTCCTGTGCTGTGTGCCTGCAGATGCTGGGAATGCTCTGTGCCTGCGTGGTGCTGTGCAGGAGGAGTCATGACCCAGCGTACGAGCTGCTGGTCACAACCAACAGCTATGCATGAAGGACGCAGCCAGTCAGCGAAGCACTCAGAAAATCAAAAGGAGCGTCACCGGACATGTCCACAGTAGATTTCAGCTGTAGTTATATAAGCTCAAGCACACCTTGCACAATTCATGATAAAGTAGCGAACACTGATGATGTGGTGTGGGTGGGCGGGGGCTTCAAGGCGAAACCAGTTATTTATTGACATGCATTGTAAGTTACTGTTACTTTATATGTTTGTTTTTTTCCCTTATAAATACTTATAAAAGCCAAAGTTGTATATGGCTAATTGACATTCGTGATATTGATGCTGATTTCTTTTTTTCTTTTGATTGTGGCTTCATATTTGGGCTCGTTCCCAGTGAGGATGATGATGAGAATTAACTTGGAGCTTCTGTGTGAAATTATGATTGGGAGTGTGGCATGGAATGTAATTCCTTGCAGGCTAGTTTGCACTATGGCTGCAGCTCTGGAGATATTTCATGGTTGTTAAAATGCAAGGTCTATGCTAAAAAGAACATGTACACTATTCGTAATATGTTGGCTTTGACCAGACTTTGTGAAAATTGAAAAACTTTTTTACCATAGAAAGAACAGATTCAGTGTTTTTAACTCTGTCTTTAGATTTTTGTTTGTGAAGCACCTCTGCGTTTCATCTCTTAAACCATGTTTGGTAGAAAGAGTTCTTCATATTCACAAATATCCAGATTGTGAATGATGTACATTCTGTTTTGGTGAGGATGTTCTCTTAATCTGGCTTCACTAGTGAGGCATCGCCCATATAGAAATTGTGAATCAACCTTTTAGTCTCCAGTGCTATTAGTTGGAGTATTATCAGTGTTACCTGAAGACTTGTGTTTGTGTAGATTCAGTTTGAATTCTTTCTGTTTAGTTTGCTAGTTATAAACCTGCTATAAAGAAGTATGACCTGTTATTTTATACATTTTTTTGTGAAATTGGCCTCTGTTTAAATATTTTTGAGCTGTTAAGTTGACCCCTAGATATTAAGCTAGTGCTCAAAACACGACAAACAAAATTGTGTATAGAGTGGAGAACAGGCAGGGGGCAAATAAACTCATACATTTTAACTTGTCTCTTTCATTGCCTTTTTATTCACATGGTTTTATATGGAAGTAAATATGTTACCAATTAAATGATACATACAGAGGTAATGATTTGATATTTCATCAGGCACATGAAGAATATGAATATAGTTAAACAAATCGATGTGCCATCATTTAACAGATCATAATCACAGTCTTATCGTTTCCTCAGTTATATAAACTTCATTTTTTTGTATTCTGATCTCCATGGTAACTGATGATCTTCCCAGGGGTCACTGAAAATACCTTATAGACAGTAGACATAATTACATACACAACATGACCCTCTATATTCCCCAGCTCACAAACAGACACAAAAAAATACTGGACAGAACCTGAGAGATAATTTATCAGTTATTTCTGTCATGTTAAGTACAATAACCTGCATTGTTGTCATGCAAACCCTGGCCTGCTCTGGTATAATCATAGTTGTTTACTCACATTGACTCACACTAACAAATAAGGGCAAAACAATGACTTAGTGACATACAGCAATGTCAGTGGAAGCCATTTTTGATAATAATTCTTCAGTCCTGTGACACTGTGTGTACACTGGTCTAAGAATAGAGAATGAAGAATCCCAGCTGTAAAACACATGAGGTAGCAGGGTTAAAACCTAAATACAATCACAAACAACAAACTGTTCGACTAACTTACCATTAATAAATAACAAACCCACTTACTAAATGATGCTAGATTTTCAGTGCATGTTCAGAAAATCAGGACAACAGTTTGACATCAGCTGTGCTCGTAAAAGAGCATTTATCCAGGAAGCTTGGAACAGAAAGTGTGTGTATATCTTAATCTATAGGTGACGTGATGCAGTATGTATTCATGTTCATGTATGTTGTTTTGCATGTTTGACACATTTTGACTGTGTCTTTAAGCGTAATGCACACGGATGTGTTTTGGTGTGTGGCTATTCGTGTTTTGTCATTTGTTTGTGTGTATTTGTTTGTATTTTCTTATTTGTGTGTGTGTGTGTGTGTGTGCATGTTCAGATTTTGCCCAGATAGTTTCCTGGCACCAGTCCAGTCAGGCTGTCCATCTCCACGCTCCACCAACCATCTTCTCCTCGATCCAACACTCGGACCATGTCCCCTCTGCTCACAGACAGTTCATCATCTGCCTGACCAGTCAATGGGAACAAACATAAAAGTCAGTTAGAGATGGGTAACACAACAAAGCCTTTTTCTCAAATCTCACCTAAATACCTACATTACTTTTTCTTTTTTCCTTTTTTTTTTAACACACTCTACAATGAAGATCAATGGTACTCTTCTTTTGACAAACTTGTAACCAAATGATATAAAATGATCACCTGTGCAGCGTATGTATAAAGCGCAATGTAGATATCTTCATCATCTATGAATGTGGCCAATGATGTGTCCTGCTGGAGGTCTAGTAGACGTGCACATCCTCCATCTGAAATCTCAACTGAGGCTAGAGTCATAGCAGATAATTGCAAACGCCAAATGTTAGCCTCTATTTATAGATCTAAGTACAATTCATTGTATGCAGTACATTTATATTCAATTCAATTCAAATATACAATTATGTTTCCTAATTTATGCTTCTATTTATTGTAATAAAACACTGAATACCATAGAAGGTGCTGTGTTTTGCAAACATATACAATAAGATGATATTTTCCATTAATTTATATATATCTTTATGTCTGCATTATATGGCGTATTTGAGTTGTATGAAAACACATCAAGATAACTTCATTTTTAAATTTTGGGGTCCACTAATATGTTTGCTGAGAGGAGAATGTGAATATGTCAATCCATAATTAAGTATTAACATCCACTAGGAGCACACAACACAATAATCAAGTAGAAGGTAAAGCCAACAACATCATTCCAATGAATTTCTTAGAAATACATAAATATAACAAACTGAGAGACGATGGTAATTGAGCAAGTAATTGCAGTACTTACACTTGCCAACAGATGTCAGTGCTGATTGTGAGGTCTGAGGATTGTCGATGCTGACGTTCACAGAGCTTCCGAGAAGGGAATCAGAGCACCTGTGTAACCCAAGTTTAAGTAAAATATTTAGGTTAGGTTTTTTTTTTTTTTAGTGGTCAACATGAAAAAAGGAACTGAAAAAAAAGATGAACTAGGAGGAGAAAGCATTTTCTGATTGCCACACCAATCTTGTGGTATTCATGTACTATTCTTTCAACCCTGGCAGGTTATCCTGTTCAGTAACAATGCAATTTCCTCCTGATTCCTCCTCCTAAGGTTATTTGTGTCACACCTCCTCATCATGTCTTCTCCTCCTGCAAAAAGAGCTTGGCCATTGCTTTCTCCGGACATATTTGCCTGGTAGCAGCTCTCAAACACTATGGGCTCTGTGAGAGGAAAAGAGAAGCTGTTCATTCGAGAAGTGAGGACTGGTCTCATTCTGCAGCTTTTACTGAAAGAGAAAGGTTATTAGTTGAGTAGCATTCCAAATCCTATTATTTTGCTGTTGCACCTTTTTCTCACTTCTCTTTTCAAGTTTGTAGTTTCCTCTGAAGGGGAAAAGGCTATATAAGTGCTGAGAAGCCTCTCAAACATCCTCATTATGTCAAATGCCTGGCCCACCATGACAGCTCACCTGGAGGCCTTGATCCCGTGCTTTTCATCTCTATGAAGCAGTTGTTGTCTGTCGGGATGTCACACTGCTGCAGCTGCTTCCTCACCTCCTCGAAAAACTAATTTTATACAACAGACAATCCATGAGAAATCAGAATTAAACACTTTTCCTGTTTAGATCAGTAGGTTAAAAAACAAAAAAACAAAAAAACATATTTTCTGTGGTTAGAGACTTTTTATTTCAAGTTCCATGATAGATATACCTGATGTGAGGAAGACAGTGAGCATGTGTGAAACGTGTTTCAGCCAAATCATCCACCAACTGGCTTTCAAGAAAAGAGTCCACAGCTACACTAGCAGTGGGGCTATACATTAGCACAGCAGTGTTTTGAGGCAAATGCCAACTTTAGCACATTAGCATTGATGCTTAGCAGGCACAATGTTTGAAAACATGCTCAGCATTTTAATTTATCATGCTAACATTCGCTAATTAGCACATCCTCTGGGGATCATGAATGATCGTGAATGTCTGTATCTATGGTGAACTGATCGACAAACTGGCATTACCATGCATACAGCCACGCCCCTAGCATGGCTAGTGAAATTTAAACAGATTAATTGTACTAAAGTGTAACTTAAATGCAGAACAAATAATATAATATAGTAATTTCTGATTACAAATTGCTTCTAAAATTACATTTGTACATAAGTTTTTAACCTGTGCCTGAATAAAACCAAGCATTCATCCCAAGCTGAAACAGAGGGTGCTGAGGGATTCTAGGAGGGAAATCAATAAATCATTTATATTGACCATTACATTATATTTTTCTGTTAAGATCAATAAATTGCGTTTACATTTAAAGTTTATTGTGTATTGTTTTCTTTTGTTTAAATCAGATAACTGTTCATTTACTGGTAGTTGTAGTGTAGCACAGTCCAATATCATGGTATTGTTCCACCTTACTAATACAGTGGTAATTTGCTCACTACCAATTGGTAATGTCCCATCATGGTAGTGACTAAATTACTATGGTATTCTTACAATGGTGTTACCATTGTACTTTTTAGGGTTTGTACATAAACGTTAGGAGGAACCATTTAGTGAGCTCACCTCATCGTCTTTGACACACTGCATGGAGAAATGATTGCAGTGGTCCCAGAGGGCACACCTGAGCATCCCAATTCGATCTCCCTCCAGCTTCTGGAACACCTGGAAAACACATACACACCAATGGTCTCTACTGTACCACTCCCAGGTTAATATCAGTGACTTAATGACTTCAGAGACATTATTGTTTCTTCTTTTCTAATGTCCCTCATGCTAACAGTTGTCATGCTGCATTAGTGTCACTGGCAGTATTATCTGCTTGCACTACACATGGCTGAATTATACTAATATTATATACCTGTGGGTTTGATCATCTTTTTTTAGCATGCAGACTGCAACAAAAGGTTTATTTCCCCACTGGCCAGCAATGTTAGGAGATAGAGACAGAGACAGATAAAGGGGATGTGGTGTGAGGTTTAGTCTACCTGGTTAGACCTAATTTTAGATTGTGACTATGTTAGAGAGCATTACCATCCACAGTACCTCACATGTGCTTTTATGTGTTTCCTCCCAGTCCAGGCGAACGCTTTCTAGCTGAACAACGTTGTTGAAGTACAGCTTCTCTGTGAGCGATTACAGAATATTTATAGATGATTGTAGTTAGAAATGAAACACAGCAATGAAGACAAGTAAACTTTGTCCAGTCTCGCTCAAGATTTTTTAACTAAGTAATGTACAGTGCAGAATTTCCATAAAAGATTCTCTAAATGTACATAATCAGTAGTAGCTGTGTTGACAAATGATGTGAATACAGAGAGGAGTACATTTAATCAGGTTAAAAATAGCCATCAGAAGAAATGTGACTCTGGGTTTTACCTGCTTCATTGGCGGTCTGTCTGTACTGCTTGGCCCTGTGACGTGCCTGTGAAACAAATATTACACAGGAAGCAACAGAGATAACCAATGTGACAGAGTCTGATCACATGCCAGAGAGACTTTAACTTTGAGCATGAAAAGGCCAAAACATATTTAGACATGTTTTGAAATTTTACTGTGGCATGTTTCTTGAATATACAAATGCTTGAAAGTAATCGGGGTCATTTGGGGAACCTGCATGATAATGAATTTATCTAAAATTAGATGACGGATAGCACATTTAGAGTCACAATAGTACATCTTGAACAAAGTTCAGTTCCTCCTTGCTAGATGTTGCATTGCATCACTGGTGCTGCACAAAGATCAAGATCAAAATGAAATACCCTGAAGGTTTGTATTTGGATTCCTTTAATCAGAGTAGCAGTTTCTTTACAAACTGGTCTGATTACTATTATTATAGAGAGGTCATTCAGATGTTGGTTCTACCTTTTCTGAGTTTTTGGATGTTATGTTGGTCTTCTCAGCCCCATGTTCTGCCTCGTCTGCCTCCTTGCATCTCAGCTCATAGTTCTTCTTCGACTGAGAGAAAGAGAAACAAAAAGCCATGGACTGTAAAAGATGTGCAATGTTTGTGTGTGAAGGCCACGCACAACATATCACATCTTCACAAAGAGAAAATGTTTGCTTTCTGGATTAAATGTAAAACACTAATTCAAATTAAACCAGCTATGGCTGTTTCCCTACCTCCATGGTCTTCTTGAACAAAGCAACCTTTTTCTTCTGAACCTTCTCCATGATGCTCTCAAACTACAAGAAGAAACAGAAGAGTGAAAATAAAAGATATATCTTCACATGATCTCAGTGGTCTTGTAAGTTACTAACATACTATGGAAACTTAAAACCAAAAGCTCCAAAGCACCTAATGAAAGTGGGAACAACAATATAAAAACAAAATAATCTTCATGAGGATAAAACCAGAGTTAGCAATTTGACTTCACATTATGTTCATCAGGGCAATCAAACCCAATGCCTCTGTATTTGTAAACAATACGTTGGTTGTTAAGCAACATAAATTGCCCCATACCTTCTTCCTCTGCTCTTTCTGATGTTCTTTGAATGTCTCAATTTTTTTCACCTCCTCTTTCAATATATCAGATAGTTGGATGTGAAAGTTCCCAATGGTCTCAATTTCTGCAGCCAAAAACAATAATAATAATAAAAACAAAAAAGCAAACTGAACTTTTCACATTTGAACACAAATAAGATCAACAGCAGCAGTATTTAGTACTTTGGTTGGATTTGTCAAATGACCGGATGAACTTACGTGTTTTTAATTGGTCAAAGGATGCTCTCAAGGTGCTGAAAAAACAATGCACATGTAAGATCAGAGATGATTAACCAAATACCTGCAGCTTGTTTTTTTCCAGGATACAAAGAGGCTGATTATCTTTGCAAGCTAAAAAAAAAGCATCCAGCTCAGACTTGGCATGTTATTTTTGACCAACGAATTTGTTCCTGTTTCTCCCTAAGACGCAGTCAGAGGCTCAGTACAACTTAACTGTGAGACTGCTGATGAAGCAGCCTCACCAGAGCAGTTTGGACTGAACAAAATACCATGAAGGGTACCTCACTCACATTTGCTGACAGGAATTAAATGGTGCTTCACTACTTAAGACAGAGATTCAAACACACTACCACAATGTATTTCCTCATTGTAGAGCCATTTGTTTCTGGTTTTTAGTCAGTCCTCTATATTATCAGGTGACTAACGTTGAGGGAACTTGAAAGAACAGGAAACTGCCAAAAAAAGAAAAAGACCCACTATTTACAGAGAGAGGTGGTACACACAGCCTGACTGGACTGGTGCCAGGAAAATAGCTGGGTGAAATCTGAACATGGACACACACACACACACACACACACACACACACACACACACACACACACACACACACACACACACACACACAGTCTTTCGTTCTTTCTCTTTCTGTCTCACACAGACACAGAAATGTGTGTTTCCTCTAAAAAAGAGTATGACTCATATGTGCCTGACAGATACTGTATATTTTATGTTGCAGGTCAGTTTCAATCAGCAGTAAAAACTATCTAAAACTCATCACCTTCTCTTTGGACAAAATGAATATGTAACCAAACTAGAGTTTCTTCCTTTTTTTTTTTATTAATATATCATACTTATATAACCACTGCATGTGTATACAGGACATAATATTGATCTCAGAGCAAGTATACTTTGACCGACACAATGTATTTACCAGATCTCTGAGTGTCCTCCGGCTTTGCGAGCAATAGTCACCAGCTCCTTCCCATACTTCTCCTCTGCTAGTGCCCTGTGCAGTATGAACAGACAGACACGTCACTCTGGAGCCCAGAATGTGTTTTAGTGTTTTGTTGTAAAGCTGAACTGTTGTATGTTCCTGTCATGTTTCCTGGAGACATTACGGATTATTGCATAAAGAACCATTTTCCAGCTCTACTGACCCACCTTTTGTTGGACTTGGTTACATCTTGAAGATTACCTCATATGAATTTGCTGTATAATTTTCTATATTCTTTATAGCGAAACTAACACAAGACAAAGAATATAGAATATTTGTACCTCTGAGACACACTTTCAGATGTTGGTTGATATTATAAAGACTTGCCCTTCTTTGCGCATCAGGAATTGGTCAAAAGACTGCTAAATTGTTCACCTATTGTGATGAACATGAGTGTGACTAATTACATGTGCTGTTGAATCAGATCACCACTACAGAGATAGATATATACAATATCTATATTTTGTTTTCCAGGAAGTTCATTTAAAGACCTTCTCATCTGAGCCTCATATTGTTGCAATTTAAACATCTTATGATAATACCAAAAACCCCAGTAACCTCTTTTTTTAAAGTAATCTGGTAACTCACTGGTTTTGTCATTTAACAGGGGAAAACTATATTTACTTAGATTTATATTCCTCTTGTTGCATCATGGTGTTAATTACACCACAAACACAGATATTAGGTATATGGATTCTTGAAAATCCCCTTGTTTAATGGTCAGTTTTGGTTTCAGCTGCTGAAATAACTCTACAAACTGATACTACCTCATTTTTAAAAGCTCCTCCACATCTTTGCACATTTGTCTTCCATCTCGTAACCTTTGGATCACAGCGTCATACCCAGCATGGCAAGTAAAATCAGATCCCTGTGTTGAGAAGACATAGAAAAACTTCAGAGAAATTCGGCAATGAACGGCGTTGCTTAACAAGAGTTGCAACATGTACTTGTGTTAATCCTGGACTCACTATGTGGTAAAAATGCAGAACTTCCCCACACAAAACCGATGTATATGTCAAGGCAGCTCACTCAGTACTTCAAGACATTTTTATTAATGTGTCATATTGGACCTCTACACTGCCATTTGTGCTATAATTTTCTCACACACACACACACACACATACACACACACACATACACACACGGATACAATTCATGTAAATGTGGACTAAGTTATAGGTTATAATAAATTGCATAAAGCAGTGAACCAAAGCCACGACAATCAGTTTTGTTTTGTTTTGCAGACACTTTACGTTATACAGTATAATGGATAAATGATAGAATGTAGTTTACTTAGCTTGTGCATTCATCATAAAAAAGGATAAGATAAATGTAGGATGCATGATTGTGAAGATACCAATGACTTCTAAGTTTTCACAAGGACAATTTCAGCCAAGCATAAGACCACAAAAAGTAGACTTACCCAGAAAGCATCTTTAAACATCAAAGGTGCCATCCCGCTTGTTACTTCTGCACTCAGCTGCTTTCGTCTGAATGAACTCCTCTAACAGGACTTTTACTCAAAACCGAATGGCTGACCAACAGTTTAAATGAAGTTAATGAAAGGTGGAGGATACTTAGCCAAGTAAGTTGTATTCAAAACCGTGAGTGGCCCAAACTTCAGTGAGTCATTTTGAATGAGGAAGCACTTCTGTCCCATGATGTCACTGACCACAGCAAGCTCAGCCCACGTTTGAGACAGTCTCTCTTTCACTGTCATTTGATGGATAAATTTGAAAGTTGTTTTAGGGGTTTTCAGACACATCATTTACAGTATGTGTGTCTGCTTAGATGGTGGTATCTGTCAGTATGTGTGTTTGACACACTTAGCTGCAGGTCAGCTTTGCTTGTAGAGGAAATTGTTGGTTTGTTCATTTACAGTGACAAGTTCACACAGTCATACAGGATGGTTTCAGTCACAGCTTATGTGAGCTGTTGACTCATCAATGGCTGATTGTTTAGTTGCTACCCTCAGGTATCCATGTAACTCAATAAGTACAGTATGTCATCATCAATATCTTATATCATTAGCAATATGTTTGGTTCTTTATTTAGATCTGTGTTAGCTTTTGCACTGCAGCAGCTATTCCTCCTGTTAACATATTACATTCTAACCAAAGTAAATGAGTACAAATCTAACTAAAGCACTTCTTCTGTTGTAATTGTGATGTCCACTGTTTGTTTGACTGTCTCATTCCTTTTTGCATTCATCTTTTCATTTCTACTAGGCGTCAGAGTTCACTACATGAGGTAAATGAAATGATATTGTTCTAAATATGGCTGATTACCAATGTAAATAATCTTTCTTTTTTCCACAATAGTTGTAAAAGTTTTGCTGTTACTTTGCTGCTGTTGAACATTTCTCATTCAACAGTTGTTTTGTACATTCTTGTGACAACCACAAGGGGGAGACATAGACCTCTCTGAGACATTTCAAGCACACCTAGTATTTAAGTATTAAATGGGATCAAACCCTCCCATCACACAGGGTTCAGATGTAAAATCCCAAATCTCTGGATCCTGTTGAGATTAATACAAATCTGCGCCTCAGGCATCTCTCAGGGAAGACACAGAGACACGTGAATGAGCACATAGAAGCTTATTATTGATTTTCAAAGTGAGGAGAAAGACAGACTGTGGTGTCTCTCACCAGAGATGTGTGAAAATCTTTGGCTCTCTCACAAAGCTGGGGGATCATTCTGTCACACACCTAACGACATGTTAAAGGGACAGTACAAATCAATACAGCCAACTGAGAATAATGGATGTTGGTCTATTTGACTGTCTGTTTATGTTCATTTTCATTATAAAGAAGTTTGAGCTATAATTCTGCATGTGTACTACCACAGAAGTTCATTGTTTATGTATCTGGTCTATATTTACAGAAAGTGTAACTTATTGTATAAAGACTATCGTTTCAACTCATGTGTAGTCCACTCTCTACCTTCAAACCTTCTAAAATCCTTACTCAGTATATACAAATTTTCATTCTGCTTGACCAAAGCCATGGATTAGAGTTAGACACCCTTCTGAAGTGGCCATCTTTTGGGTTCAAGAAGGTGAAACAATTCAGTTTTCCCACTTGGAAAAACCAGACATCCACTAGTTAGAGCGAAGATAATCCTCCCAGGCCGAGCTTACAAGTTTTCACATTGAGATGACTGAGTCTGTGGTGCTTGGCCTTCGCTGTGACCCTGTTTGAGGCCTCTAATGGAAGGACAAGCTCTGGGAATCAGCTGTGCTGCCTGGGTCTGAGCACACTATCACACACCAGGGTTGCAGCACACACACACACACACACACACACACACACACACACACACACACACACACACACACACTTGCTACCCTTCTCTCATTCGTTTTCTCTCCCTCCCTCACACTCCCCTGGAGTGGCAGTTATTGAACTGTGACAAACTAGCCGTGTCAGACCAGCCCCCCTACCTGGGGGATTGGCTAAATGACCTTTCCATTACCCAACCACTGCTGTATTCCCCCTCCACAGATAGAGTTACACATGCAGCCAACCAGCCCATTTGCCAGGACCAGTGTCACCGCCGCTGCCATTAGCCACCACATCTTTCTGTGCTTTTTGACAAACTTTTATTTTATTTCATTCTATTTTGTTTTTATTTTATTTTGTTTTAAGGCAGCAGATAACTTCAGCTGCAACACATGCAGTATTTATATTGATTCTGTGGGCCTATACTGCACTCAGCAGTGGGGGTCTGGCCCATGTGTGCGTGCTGAGTGATAAACATGTGATGTCAGAGACAGCTTGTGCCCGGTTGCTTGGGTTTTGTGCACAATGTGTGTGTGTGTGTGTGTGTGTGTGTGTGTGTGTGTGTGTGTGTGTGTGTGTGTGAGTGTGTGTGTGTGTTAGTGACAGAGAGAGAGAGACACTCTGGCCTGCAAAGTGTGTGCCTTAACTGGTTTTCACACATTCTCCATCCTCCATTCCTGCTAATCCCCTGTTGACCAGTGGTACCAGCCCTGAATCTCACCAGATACTTCAGGGAACAAGCCTGAGGAGGAGAGTGAAGGGGGGTGGGGTGGGGGGCGGGGGGGGTGTGTGGAGGGCAAAGGTTAAAAATGGCCGAGGAGATGATGCAAGAAGAGAGGGATGGGGCAGATATGAGGGGAGAACAAGTAGGATCAGAGGGGATGGGAGGAAGTGAAGGAGCCAAAGAAAAGAGAGGCTCTGAACTGAACAAGGCAGAGAGCAGTTTTCAGTGGACTGCTGCTGCCTGCTGGATAGGAATGCAATGAAGTGAGTCCTTGGCCACATTAGTGGGAACCTGTTAGGAAGCTGACAGATGGGGAGCTAATGATGTGTAGGCACAAGGGCAGGGACTGTAGTTGCTAGTGAGATGATCTGTAGTGGCTGTCATAATACAGCTGAAAACTAACAGCTGAGGGTGACGGAGGAAGAGGAGGAGGAGGAGGAGGAGGAGGAGGAAGAGAGAGGAGGAGGAAAGATGGAAAAAAGAGGCAGAATCACACTGGGGGCTGGGGGCCTTTCTCACGTTTGATCCACGTCTGGCTTTTAATGAAACATTTATTAGCTGTCTTAATCCTCATTATTACTGCTAAGAACTCCAGCTTTAATCAATTTGATCCTCATGTGTCCGTTATTCCCTGATGTGATTCTCTGGACACTGGGATGAAGGCAGTCTGGACACACACACACACACACACACACACACACACGTATGCTTGTTTGCGTGGACTTCTCTTTGTATAAATATTTGATTAGCACGGTTGTCACACAATGCAATCATGGCCATGTTTCTCTTTATTTGATGATTTTGAAATGGCCACAATTGCCTGCATGTTTGTGCATGTACATGAGTTTATATGTTGGTAAAATGTGTGGGGAAAAGATTGTGTGTCTGCACATTTGAGTTGATGTGTACTGGTGGTGACCCCTGTAAAAAGGATGCGTGCCACAGGCAAATCCCTCTACGCCCCCGGCTCCTGCTCCTCCCTCCTTCCTCTGCATGGTCCCTTCAACAGACTGGATTTTGGTGTTGGACTAATTAGCCCAGCGGCCATTCTCTCCACAGGGATGCACCCTGTCCTCCTCACCTGCCCCCATGTCCTCCCCTCTTTTCTAGCTCCATTTTTTTTACATCTTCTGACCAACTTCCTTTCACCTCTCCTCTCTTCTCCTGACTCTCACCTCAATTTTTTTTTTATCTCTGTTCTTCCCATCTCCCCATGTCATCACCCCCCCTTCCTCACGCTCTCCTCTTCTTTCTCACTCCTCCTTTTCCTCTCACTCTCTCTCTCTCTCTCTCTCTCTCTCTCTCTCCAGCCAGCCCCTGCATGTTTCCAGTCCTGCTGGTCTCTTGTGACCTGGCCTTTTACCACTCCATACCACTTGTTTGTGTGTGCAGGTACGTGTTATTGTGCACATACCTGTATGTGTACTTTTACAGTATGTGTTTGCATTAAGTGTCCGTGTGTGTGTGTTATAAAGCCAGAAAGGTAAGACTGCTAAGTGGTTTCATCCATCCGGCAGAAGACAGAGATTCTGCTTGGCTTCCTCTGATCCAGGCCACAAGGGGAGTCAGACCCAAATGCAGGTCAACACAAGCAGAGACTCTGGTCTGGGCCGGCTCTCGTCTTTGCTTTGTTGTTTCTGTTCAAAGAGTACAAATGGATTTTCTTTTAGAGTGTGAGTGTAACTATGTGCGTGGGCATGCATGTAGGATTGTGCAGGTTAAGTTAATCTTTGCTTAGTGTAAGATAATGGATTGTGTGTGTGTGTGTGTGTGTGTGTGTGTGTGTGTGTGTGTGTGTGGATGGGTGCGTGCAGGTCCGTGTGCACAGTGTTGCATTGTGTACATACTCCCCTTTGTGTGTGTCTCCTAGGTTTAAAAGGCTATAAAGTGGAAAGTGGCCTGTTATTTGATGAACTGATTTAAGGTATCAGGTTTGTTGTCTCTGCTTCAGATTGTGTCTGTTCACAGTGTCAGCCTCTATCTCATTTATACACATACACACATTTCAACTTGTTCTACAGAATTATTCTGGATTTTTCAAATAAACTAAACTGGGACTCAGGCTTGAAAATTAACTGTCCACCCCATTTCCTGAATGACACAACGGCCAATTCAACAGTTTCAAAATAAAGCAGTTTTTGTTCTTTCTTAAATATATATTTTTTATTTTCATAACTATTACGTATGTCTTTTTTTTCTTATTTTTGTTTGAATTCATGAATCATTTTATTCCACTCCTTTACACTGCTTTGATTCTTTACTCAAAAGTCAAGAGTGTTATGAAAAGCAGCAACATGTATTTTTGAATGGAACAAAAATGCTGAGATTTTGCCTGTTGACTTGTTATCTGGGTTTAATGATCACATCTAAAATTGGATTGGTCTGCCACCAACCTGTATTTTAGAACATTTCAACCCAATGTGAGCCATTTGACTGGGTAGATTTTTCCTTCTTACTCCAACAAGCAAGATGCTCCAGGACTCTGAATGATCTGCCTGAACACATTAAGATGCATGAATCTATATTTAGAAAGTTCC